TAAAAAAACATAAGCCAAAAAAAATAAAGAAGGTTTTCCCAATAAAAATATTATAATACCTTTAAAAGCAACCAATACGCCGCGTTTGAGATGAGTCGTGCTCTGAATCCACATCACCTTTCATAGATAATTCGGCGCACCTTCAATATAATATTCAGTCAGCCAAAGCATAAACTCGGCGTTGTAAAAGGACGGCGCGTCGAAAAATTGCATTATTAAAACATAAACAAGAATATAAGGTTTTATGTTACATACCGACATAGGTGTAAGTTCAATATATGAATTGCAGCAATATACTTTTACGTTCCATTGTCTATCCCTTAATAACTCTTAATATAAAAGTCTTATACAGCATATGAGTACATAATAGAGGCGAAACATATTTATTTAATTATACCACACATAGGGATTTTGTATCTATTTATAAAAGTAATGAGTTTCGTATATACTGAATTACATCAGGTTAATTAAATTTAAGTTTATTTTTATATTTTAATATCTATGAAAATAATGCTGCTTAAAATTCAAAAGGAATAAATAAAGGAATAATTAATGAAACAAAATTATATTAGGAAAATTATATTCGACAATACAAAAATAATAAGAACTTAAGACAATTCAAAATTTAAACAAATTTTCATAATTTATATATAAGATACCTACATCCAATCATCTGAAAAATTATAGACTTGTATTATCAAAAGATTTGTGAAAAGAAATAGGCCAAATATAACATTAACCCAGCTACTGTAACTCGTCGTTGTCACCTTTTCAATTTCGCATCAAAGGCTCCGCGATCGCTTTCCATGTCCTAATTAGCAGATTCTCGTACAAAACTCGTTCGTCTGGAAGTTATTGTTTATTGGCAATAGCTCTGCCGCACCCAAACGCTGTTACTGGTACGGAAAATTGAGGCAAAATCAGCTGCTATATATTGCTTGGCCCGGTTCTCGGGTGAAACTTAAATTATTTTCATAAGGAGCCTTATAAGGTGTCAGTTTTAAGCAACAGTTTTTATGGTAAGGTTATTTTGTAACTAAAAATAATTAAAATTAATTTCTTTACATTGAAATGTAATTGTTTAGGAAAATCAAGGCTACTATTTACAGTGCTTTTTTTATAGTCCATGTAAATAAATTCTCAAATAAAACATTTTTTATGGAGAAAAACTAATAAAAAATATATTCCTCGAATAAAAATTAATACTCACTTTCATCTCCGGACGTTATAATGCTGCGTGTTTCTTATGTCTGATATCGCTTAATAATTTTTAACATTTTTATTATTTACACACTTTTTTGAAAAGGTTTTCTATTTCCTGGATATAACAACAACTCACCTAGATTTGTATTACGACCGGACAGTGAGAGTAAAAATATCTTGAAAGGAATAAATAGGTGCAGGCTGGGTCTTATATATTGTGTTCGTTAACCAAAAAAATTTACCATTAAGGAACCCTTCCATCCTTATCTTGAGTTTTTTCTTGAAAATTAAATCCAGTCTGAAAACATGAAATGATATTTCATTCGAATCTATTCATTAAATTATTTTAGAACAAACATTCACAAACAGTCACAATCATGGTGATAGTAGAAATCAAACAGATCAAACAAAAAATATTTTTGGTAAAATTCTACTAAACTAAACTCTTACTGAACTACAGATACATCCAATCACTATTGTTAGCATGCTATTTACAATATAACAATTTAAAGTAAAGCTTGTATACATATTTTATATCCTAGATTCTACTTAAACTTAAGGTTCGGAAAACTGCATGAAGAAGGACACAGGTGCGCTACTAGGTTATGAAATAAATATTCATACATTCTTAGAGGATGCTTTTAAAATGGCTGCCCGTTTTCTTCGCATTTTATGATAATATTGTTTTTAAGTATGACACTATTTTACTTCGGATGCTCTTCTAACTTATTAATATAATAATCTTAAACACTTTCTGTAATGCCCGGACTATTAATATTTACAATTATTGAAAGCGACAAGATGATTGGTTAATTATAAATCACAGACTTTACAAACATTTCTTCTTGTTTCATTCGACTCCCCTACATTTTTTAATTCCATCAAGTTTAATTAAGAGATTAGTTGTACGAGTACGAATGATTTTTTTTTTATCTATTTAAAAATGTTTTTTTTTATTATTGGTGTTTTCAACATGGGTTTTCGATGAAGAAAACCTCTTTTGTATCTTGTCTGTTTTTAAATTCTGACTCAGAAGGATAATTCGCACACATACACTTGATACTCAACTCTCACATTTGATATTTCCGTAAGTAAACTATTTATTACTAGTTTTTGCCCGCGACTTCGTCCGCGTTAGTTTCATCATTAGTAATATATGTATAGCTGACCGGGCGAACTCTATTCCGTTTTAGAGGCCATTAATAATCAGGTTTCTCCTGTTTCAATCGAACAGAATGATTGACATATTAGTTAGTTGTCAAATCTAATGTCAAAGAAAACGTTTGTATGGGAAATAGAAAAGGGCTGTTTTTAGGGGTTTCCCGGAAATGAATCAATTTTTTTCAGCTTTTATACCTTCCCTGAACCTCCACAAACATTTCAAGACTAAGATAAGATAAATCCGTTCAGCTGTTCTCGAGTTTTAGCGAGACTAAGGAACAGCAATCCATTTTTATATATATAGAAGATTATTAAAGATTAACTAGTATAATTTGGAAACGACTAATTTAATAACTAAATACGATTTTCTAAATGAACTTTAATAATATATAACGTATAATATATTACGTTATATATTATTAATGTTCATTTAGAAAATCGTATTTAATATTAATATAATATATAACGTAATAGTCAGTGGTGGCCTAATGGTTAGAGGGCCCGCCTCTCGTTGCCGAGGGCGCGGGTTCGATCCTGGCCCGGGCAAGTACCAATGTGATTTATCCGAGTCTTATGTACTTTCTAAGAATATTTAGACATCACTGATTAATGCATTCCCAAAGAGGGTTGATGTCAGGCTGGCGGCCGGTCGTAAAAACAATTAACCAAAACTATTTACAACATGTAAGGCAGACCCTGGCTATAGCTGGGAAATTGCCAGGTAGAAGAATATATAACGTAATAATAAAAAAAAAATAACTCACAGATTTTTTTTTTCGTTGAGTTATTTTATAAAGATACTTAAATTTATATTTGTATAAAAAACAGTATTTTGTTTTTAAGAAAAACACTTGTCAACAACTTGTGTTGGCGGAAAATCAGTGAAATGGAAGTTATTGCTTATTGAAACCTATTACTACACCATCATAGCCTAGATGGGCATCGTTCCAACGGATATTTTGATATTAAAATAAGGGTTTTTATTGAAATTTATTACAGTAACTAAAAATTTTTTATATCATACAAATGAAATACCATATGAAGATGTCATTTATTTTTAACATTTCATAGTATGTTTCTTGGTCACAGTATGAATGTTTCATAAGTTTGGCACATAACTACAATTTTTTTATCGATATAACATCGAGGAAAACTATATAGAATAGTATCTGATTCAAGATAAGATTAATAAAAAACGATAATTAGTTCGAGTAAGGAGATTAAAGATTGTTAGGTTTATCAATAATAAATCTTCGAATATACATTAATTACGTACATTAATTTGAGAGAGTAAAATTTTGGAGTAAGAATTCGTATTAAGGATACTGACTGATTTTATTATCTAGAGTCTAGAGTCTAGACGAATATAAGTCTTTCACAATAAAATGTTATCACTATGATATCATATCGATTACAGTTACTAACTTGACAAAAAGCCATCGATTAATATCGTATTAATTATGTTTTTACGAATATTGTTATTTATTGGTGGGATCAAATATTAAATTCATAAATATAAATAAAAAATGAAAAATCTGGGAATATATATAACTTATATATTTTACTTATTTAACTATGTCGTATATACAGCTTTTTAAAAAACGAAAAGAAACGAAAATTTTTATTTTGTTGGTTCGCTTCTTAGATATACATTTTTTTAATGAATGTAATAAATTTCCAACTCAGTTAATATATATAACTAGATATGTTTGTTGAACAATTAAATATGTTTGTTGAACAATGCGAGTCGGAGTCTTACGTTTGGGCAGTATCGATCCAGTGGCTAGACGATCTGATGGGGACCAAGTTCTTCAATTATTCACCATGCTTCCGCGTTTCCGTTTGATACTTCTCATCCTGGGAGTATTGGAACTCTTTTATATCATAGTATGAACTGAATTTCGTATTGAATTATATTACTTGAAAGTATATATTAATTTATTTAGAAGATGCTGATAACAAAACCCTTTCAAAAACTTTACCACCATATCGATCAAATTTTATAATGATATTCTTTTAATTATTATAAATATAATAATGTGCTTACGTTTTTTCTTTCAGTGAGGAACTTGAAATCAATCTCATAACTGAACTACCAGCTACTTAGCAGAAACTGACTGGTAGTTATTTTATACAGAGAATATTATACATAAATAGTATTGCAAGAAAGTAGAAAAATATAATATAGAATGAATATGTTACTTGAAATGTTGTTATCAAAAAATAGACATTATTTATCTTTTTCCTTAAAATTTTATCATTTCTAAATCACTGTCAATTAGCCATATAAGAACAATTAATAAGATAATAATAAAAGACATATTGTCTAATCATTTATAGATTATCTAAAATATTTTGAAAAACTTAGAACATTTAAATGATGTACCGTAATTTATAATACAACTGATATTAATAATTAATTATTACAAAAGTTCCTACCTAATAATAATGAATTCAATAAAATTTTAACAATCACAGGAGTAAAATGTGGCCATGGTGTTTATACAATCATTGTTCAATATTAAAATTACGATAAAAATCTTTGGCGGAATTATATTATTTATCTATTACAGACAGATATAAATACAATAAGAGACGACAAATCATTTCATTGTTGCCTTATACATTCCTTAAACATGTCTAAAACGACATTTGCGTCCATATTATTTCTTTGTGTGTTCTCTGTTGGAGCTCAAAGCTCTCTGCAAACTGTTGATGGGAAAATACATATCCACGTCGGTTTGACTTCAGGATGCATGGACGCCAGAGGATTTATGTCTCAAATTCGAAAAACTTATGACTTGTATAAGGATAATATTGAAATACAATTCGTACCGTGGGCGAGAACGAGAAGAGATGAAAATGGAAATCTTATCTGCCAATTTGGGGAGCCTGATTGCTTTGCAAACCGTGTTTTTAGATGCGCCTTGAATTTGTTAAAGGGAAAACCAGATGCGCAAGTTGACTACATGGCCTGTGAAATGTCTCCACCATACCCCTCATTCTCAGAGCAGAGCCTCCGTTGTGCTAAGAGTGTTGGTCTGGATCTAGATGAAGTGAATAATTGTTTGGCAGTGAATGCTGATGAACTAGAAGCTCAGGCAGAAGAACTCGCAGCTAAACCGATGGCTGCTATAAATTTTGTACCTTACATCGTTTTCAACAATGTGATTGATCGCGATATGAGTTTTCGAGCTTTCTTTAACCTTGAAAACCTTGTTTGTGATGCATTAAAAGATGACCCTTCTACCGGTGTTAAAAATTGCAGCGTATAGAATATTTTCTCAACGTTGAATGTGTATAATTACTAAAAGTTATTAAAACTAATATTTAAATTACTATGAATATTTTCATTACACCTGTATACAGTTTGTACCAGATTGTCATTAATTCAAATACAATCCGATATAGAAATAAATTTTATGAAACGGTTATCTCTCATACAAATGGCTAAACAGCTATTTGAAAACATTATTTATAACAACCGCTGTGTTCATGATTGTATTATATTCTTCGGTAATATTTTGAATTAAATATATATAATATCCTATTTCATGTACATAAACCATATCAAGTCTCGCAAACGATCCTAGTAACGAAGGTGTATTCGTAAGTGTATTCTGTTTTATTCATTCAATTGTTCTAAATTATTCAATTCCTTTTTCTTAATTTCAATAAATATTCTCAATGATTATATCAAAAAACATTACCCAAAGTTTATTACAAAAATAATAGTGAAATAAACTATGCAGCTGTATAACTTATATACATATATTCTATAGCTGAAATGTTAGAGCATTGCCTATAAACCATTTTTTTATTTAAATGTGCATACAATTTTGAGATTCAATAAAATACTTCATACTATATAATACTACTTTAATAAGAACTGGATAATGGTAGATAATCGTTACAAATGATGAAAAATAAATAGTTAGAAATGACTAAGATAATAAGTACACTATCTACTAATACTACAGACTATTTACTTTTTTCATCGTATTATGTAACTCCCGCTAATCACCAATTATGTTCACACTAAATGAACGTAAGATTTTCGGATTACTACACGTAGTTTATTATTTTTAGAAACTACATTCTCCCGAGGTTTCGGTTACTTTCCAGCAACCCTAATCACACTATGAAAATATTGATCTGGCAAAGAATATGCCGCTAAACATTCAACCAGACACTCATCAGGGGTCCCAAATGCTCATCAGATTTCCATTTTGCATCTGTATATATTACATTTATTATCACTAGAAGGTCCTTGCAATTAGCTGGGTAATTGGACACTTCAAATATTTTTGTACCTTCTTTAAAACCAGCCAATCTTGATGATTGGCATTCAAGTTTTATAAAAAGTCTAGTTTTGCTTAAGGTCTCTGAAATTGGGCCACATGCAGCCTCACTGAAATTCTTTAATATCTGAGTCGTTTCCTGGCCATCTCCATTCAATGGCATAAACTATTTTATCCATATCTGTGTCTAGCATCATCTAGAAAGAGAAAATTTTGGTGACCTCACGATAATAAAGGCGCTGTATGTAATGTTAGAACTATACTTTTAAAAAAAAACAATGTTTGAAATAGAATTTTAAAATGTTTTTGTAGCTATACAATTATATAAAGCTTAAAATATTCAAAAATATACATGGCAATTTCGAATAAAATAATATTCCAAGACTCACTTTAATAGACTTATTCTTTAGATGTTCTTCTTTTACTCAGGAAAATACAATATTATATTCCTTATTTAAAATTCTACTTAAGATGGGGAGGCACAAATAAAGTTACCCTCGTGCATGGTTCTTATAAACTTCACAAACAAAAACAACTCTAAAACAATTTTCTCCCCTTCGAAAGTATTTCAAGGTAATCTTAGGAGACTATACTTAAAACTGGAAACTCCTTAAACCTCGATATCTTTTTATGGTTAGAACATTTTTTTCTTATATAACATTTCGCATAACTTAATTTACTAAATTGTCTGATTTTAGACAGAACAACTGTTTAAATAGTTGTTAATAAGAATAATCATTAAACTTATCTGATGAATGTTAGCATTGAAAACGAAATAAATAACCTTTTTTCTCTATTGAATCAATTATTTGCATATTACATTTGGTAGCTATTGATCACAAGCATTCATTAATAAAAATAAATTAAAGCTTTAATTAAAAAAAACAAAACTAAAACCGTAGTTTAAAAAATTCAAAGCCCCGACAAAAACAACTCATAATTTATATTTTTAAGTTACAATCCCTTTGAGTTAATTGGAATTTAAAGCCCGGTTTCCATTTGGTACTATGGCTATTAAGGTTTAACATTATCACAATTTAAAAATATTTGAAAATAAAAAAGTTACAAACAACAGACATCTTAATCTTAATTCATTGCAAAAATAGCAGGTAGTCTATTTCTTAGATATATTTAAAAATTCACGACCTCCCCTTCTGCGGTAGAAGCAACCGCAGTATTAAGGAAATTGACTTCCCTTGAGACTGAAATGGGACCTTAGACTTTGTGGAAGCATCCAGAACTAGTCAATTGTTCGTATATTGATGGGACATTAATTTTTATCTTACTCTATATTTTTATCTTTTATAAGATACTTTTCAGACAAATAAGTAATAACTTTACTAAACTAACTTTGGGAGCATATGCAATTATCAGGATATATACTATTTTAAAAATTACTAAAAAGCAATGTTTTCACACAATTTTTATGAGCTTTTTTTAAGCCATTAAAAGTTATGTATCGGAGCCGCAACCCACTAAAGTGAATCCGATACAAACAACGACTAAACCTTAACGACTTTATGTATCCCCATTTACAAAAGAGATGGAGGCCATAAAATTAATACCTTGCTTCTAAATTGTCAGGTTACCTCTCTGGATGGTAATTTCCCTTAAATATTTAAGTTTTCTCTGCACCCTTCATCCACAACAAGATTCAATTTCACGCCCCAAATAGAGAATCGTTTTGAACCATTTGCGTTTCCTTCAAATGTCAGGAGACAACTAAAAGTGTCCAGTTACTCAAGAACTTTGTGTACTCATTTGTCACTCTCAAATATTCTCCTGTCGACCATAAACTGTAAGAACCGGGGAAGACCATTTTATATTGGTTTGAGCACAAACCATTTGAAACATTACGGTTGCAGTCAAAATGTAAATTGTGTATTATTTCGATTTTAATCAATCTCGTGCCAAATCAGCACGGCTTAGGGTCACATTCGAACATATTTATCAATACAAAATTGTATAGTCCTGATAAAATTATTAATCTGCAGAAGGGAAAGAGAAGTATTAAATAATTAATTAATCATAAGGAAAGCTGTTTATTTTTTCTTTTTTGTTCTAGAAAATGGCTATTTCACCTGACTCTATGACAATTCCCCGGAACGTAATAAGTTACCCACTAGATAAGATTGGTTTAAACAAGTTAAATTGGTGAAACTAATGATTTATGCAACCGCTAATCTTAAAGGATGTGTGAAGATAACCTAAATTTTGAAGGTGTAGCCAAAATTTAATACAGTCACGTATTGCTGTGACCTCTTAAATTAAACTAAATGTTATCTAACACAGCAATTAATTTACTTACGTGCTTTGACTTAAGAAATTTAAGTCAAGATGATGTTACCATGAAACATGGTTGCAGATTATGACCATCACTTTATAAGTAAAACTTGAATTATTATGTATGTAAAATGATTCATTCGCTATCTTTAATTATTATTATTTAGTGAAGTCGTAATGAATATGTCTATAAATTATCACGCATATTTTTTCGTTATATGTATATATTAAAAAAAAAAGTATTTCACTACATTCCTAAATTTATGTACCTCTAACGTAATAGGGTTTTTCTCTTGTCTTTCTTTATTACCTTATATCTTAACAAATCCCACGTTTTGATATTATTAAGATATAAATCTGCCTGACAACGAAGAGATATATTCATAAGGGTCTTGTCCGAGCCCTTCAAGCTAACACAATACAAGGCCCGGACGATCGCATGAATAAATATAAAGGACACAAGTGGCACGTTATATTCTGATCCGTATTACTATATTACACGACCTTTTATTAGGGCGTATATAGCCAGTATAATGTTTATTAACATTCTTTACTCCGACAAAACCAAATGACCGTCTGACATTATGAGTATATGTAATGGATTTATTTACAGTCACAACGTCTTTTACTATACCGATAATAATTAATTATTATCTTACGGACATAAACATAATAATTTCAAACAAATGCAAATTTCACAGCCTCATCACAAACAAATAATGATTTCATTAGTTATTGATACACATATGTATGTATATACACAGTGTACATGAAAATTATGCATTTATCTTTTGTAAAAAAAAATATTATCCGTTTTTTTATTTTTATCGTACATACAGACTGTTCTAAAACCATTATTAGCCGGAGAGTATTGTATGATGAGGATATGCAATAGGATGAAACGTTCTTGTGTGCCAGGGTGGTACCTCCGCGGTCGAGACAGCCCATGTTTGACCTACAGTAACTTGACCACAGCTAGGCTCTACTATAAAATTCTGTTTATTTTTTTGTTTATGAAAATATTACACGTTGTGTGGAAATTTTTGTACTTTCATGCTAATTTTTAATATTTATAAATTTCAAATTACAAATATTTTAAAAATAAAATATTCTGACACATTATACACTTTAAACGTCAAAAAAGGTATGGACTTTGAAAGACTTAAACCCTTAATCAAAAATGACCCCGAGAGCTAAATAATTAGGGTAAGCAACAAATTACTAAGCATATAAAAATTTTGTTTTAAACTGAGACTACAAAAATATGTAGTGTATGTATAAATAAACTAAATTTTCCGTATTTTATACTTGGGTTTTCTTAATTTATTTTTAAACCAATATCAAGTAAATATTTTAACATTCTTCTATGTTTTACATTACAGACGCTTAGTAAATACAATTTATAGTTTCTCCATCATAAATTCACAAGACAATTCACCTTAGAATTTCACCAATTAAGATACAATATTGTTGGCCATCCTTTTACACTGCTACAGTTTTTTTTACAAAATTTCAACCCTTATCGACAACCCTATATTCCAACTCCTCTCATTCTGTAATATAATCTGTATCTATATTATAGATTCACAGAATTTTCCACAATTCCCAGAAAGTTTTTCGATATAAATAAACCCATATAAGGATTATAAATTTTTGTATAAACATTTTAAAATATATATTTACAACAAATA